TAAATTTCGATATTATCGTTAATCAATGTTACGGCTGATGCTGATTTTTGGAGGCATCTACTAAAACCCACATATACTCTTTAACAATTCTAACCTTAAATTCCAGTCCAACTATTAAAAAAAAAAGCTAAAAAAATGTATCCCCAAAAATTATAAAAATTTGTATTAAAATAGGCCCCAAAATCAGCATCAGCCGTGACATTATTTACCTTGATGTTTTTAGGTTACTTGATTTATAATCTTTAAAAAAAAATACGTTTAAAAAATTTATGAGTGTCGCCAAAAGAAAACATAGACATTTAAATATAGTCTATATTTAAAAGTGTGTTTTCTTTGGCGACACTCATAAAAAAAAGAAAAATAAGCAAAAAAAAAAGCTTTAAGGCTTCGTGTTGGCATAATAAGTCACATTTTACATAGATAAAATGGAAGTCAATTACAAAATTATAGAATTAGTAAGCAATCAGTGTCACTTAATATACATGATTCTTACGTAAATACGACACCTTTCGGATGTTCATCAGTTCTCAACAGCTTGATCAATTTAATGGTGTCTTATTTACACTATGAATCGATGCATTACAATAACTATTACAAATTTCGACTTCAGAATTTATTAACTGTATGCTCTTTGTCTATAATTTATTACCGTACAGCGCGGACTAGAGATTGGACCCGTTGAGAAAATCTTTACCCGGGTATTATTAAATTACCCGGGTTATCCGGGTAAGTTATTATATATTTCGGGTAATCGTATAGTAACAATTTCTACCCGGGTCCAATCCCTAGCGCGGACCATAGTACCCCCACATCAAAGTACCTTCTATAAAATTTTTTCGCAGTTGAATACAAGATACCCGGGTACTTTACAGTGTGAAATACCCGGGTATTAACTATGTAGCATATATCATTTCTATGTAAAATACACCTCTTATATGAGTGTTCGAGAATAAAAACTGATCTTGAAATTTGATTAGTCAAAATCATACAAAATTTTGAGTCAAATATTTACTTACAGGTTTTTTATTCTCGAGCACTCATATAATACCCGGGTACTAACTTGGATTTTAGCTGTGGAATGTATCGTATCCGAGGTATTATAGTCCGCGCTGTACGGTAGTTGGTGATCATTTAAAAAGCTCGGTTTTTATCTAGGAATATTAATAGATACGATTGTTATGCTTTAATTTTTCATAAAATTTAAAGGTGAAAAGAATTTTATGATTTTTTACTAATCTGAAATATTTCGTATTTTTCCATTGAAAAATATGAGTAGCCACCAAGCTCATATGTAGATGCATCTCTAATTGGTTTTTCATATGACCTTAAACAGTTAAAACAATTATTATGACCAGGGCCATTATAAACGACTAGATCACCAAAAATTGGTCCACAGTCAGGAGAGAAATAAATTGCATACTGTGGATTGTTCACATGACTCAGAATAGAATTTTGAATAGTACCATTTTTCAATGAAAAAATAAAGCTCTCGTTGCAATTTCGAAATTTCTCACTATTCGATTTCTCCCATCCAATAGGATTATACCCTCCAAGAATTTCATCAGTGTCTTTAACCTTTACAATTACAACGACATTTGTTTTATTATTGCATAATTTCCAAAATGACGCAGGAGCAAAATCATTTCCAGTTCCATCAAGAAGTAATTTAAATTCATATGGGTTTTCTATTACAGAATATGTTCTTTTATCAATCCATGAAGTAATCTCAGCAGCGTGTGCTTCATTAATAATTGCTGAAAATAGTTTTGTCGTTCTGGGCGGCAACGTTTGTTTTAAAACCACACGAGGTGGAAGAATTACTGATGATATCGGTCGGTCCGGAGATAAAAATCTCTTAATTATATCATCCCATAAATTTTTATCAAGCATTTGTTGATATGGTTGTAAATTATCAATAATATCGCCTCCAGATATTTGAAAGTAACGGATATGAGGTAAACAATTCTGCAAGGTATTCTTCATAGTTAAAAAATTTTCATTAGACCAGTTTTTAGGATCAGATGGCAAGCCAGGATTTTGTGCAATTCCCCATTTGATTGTATAATTCCAAATTTTTACTTCCTCCATTTGTAAATCATCTCGTTTAATAAGCGAGACTAATGCATTTTCTTGAATAGAAGTAAGATCTTCTGATTCAAAAATCTTATTTGGATTCTTTGCTATAATATCATTACACCAATTTTGCAAATCTTGAAATTTATTGGTTTGAAAACCTTTTTGATATATACGAGAAAAATTTAAACGAAGCCAAGAAGCCTTTGTTTCGATTAAATAAGTTTCAAGACGTTTAGTAAGTTCTTCAAAGAAAAACTCACAAGTAATAACCATTAGATCAAAAATAAATGATGTATCAAGATTTTCTAATGAAACTATTCCACCGTAGATATACCTTTAATTAAAAATTTGCAATTGCGTTAATTTTAAATTAATACTTTTTAATAATTTTTAAAATATTTTTAAACTTGTAAAATAATAAATAAGAATACTATATAGTTACTTGATGATAATTTCAAATTGCTGAATAGTAACATTTTTTAGATTAACCGTTTTAATGTTGTTCCTATCTCTGTCAACGTTTTTCAATTCATTTAGAAAATACAATGACCTATACTTTAACACTGCTGAATGCGCCCGAAATGTTTTGGTATTTGGAGATTCACCAACATTGATCAATACATTAAAATCTTCCTCATCATCAAGAAGTTCAAGATAATTATTTGAAAGTTTTTCAAAAAATTTTAGAGTCATTTTTTTTTTTTTTGAAAAACTATGATCGTTTACGTATACGTAGCGATAGTGAATGGCACTTATATACCAGTCACATAGGGATGTTAAGTGGTTCGTCTGGTTCGGTCCCGGTTTAGTCCCTAAAAAGTCCATGATTCTAACGTTAATTAGCGAATTTTAACTGAATTCACCAATTAGAGTATTCCTAATTAGCGAATTTTAACTTAATTCACCAATTAGAGTATCTGCCATTGATTCCCAATTAGCGAATTTTGGGGAGAGCCGGACAAAAGTTAGCCCGAATTAGGTTAGCGTTAGCTTAATTCCGGTCAATTTTTTTCGGGATTTCGTTCTTCAGGATTATGTTTCGAGATTTGAACCAAACCCCACTCAGGGTATATTGTTATTGATTCACATTTTATCGAACTTTATTTAATGTGTCAAAAATAACACTATTCATATAATGTGAGAACTGGACTGGTTTTGGACAAGCATTGAACTGGTCTCTACTAGTCTAACGTACGTACGTATGAAAAAAAGTAATCAGTTGGATAGTTGGATGTGGATTTTGGTTGACTATCACTATCGTTATTTATGCAATTATTATTATTTGGATAATTATTTTTGAACCCGGACCAATTTTATACGGGTTTACTAAAATGCACCATAGGTGTTGAACACCATAGTTGCTATATCTCAAAAACGTACTAGCTAACACATCTCTGGGGTATTAATTAAAAATGTTCAGCGCCCCAAAAACCTTATGCTAACTAAAATTTGGACCTTTATATCTAACTTCTATCTTGCTCTAAAGTTGCACCCTAACCCTAAATTTTAGCCAAAAACATATTAACACCAACAACACCTATGGTGCATTTTATAATTATTGATTTATATATGACGTAATAACATTTTGGATTCAAAAATAATTACCCATTTAACGTTAAGGGATCGTTACTGCTGATTTGACGATTATTTATCAGATCTGGGGATTGGCAAAAAGGTCTAATGTTTACGTTTTTAGTATTTCTGTATTTAGTAATATTGTTTTCTAATCTATGAATGATATATACGTATAAAATAATTAATGACGCGTAACAAGTACACGCTTAAAATAAATATTAGTCATAAAAATATCCCGGTTTATCGGATCCTTATGACTATGAATTGTATGTAAAATTAATACATTCTATTATTCGTATTTTAACGATTAACTTTTCATTATAACATATTATAATATATAAGTTATTATACTAACTATACCATTTTCTTGCTGAAGTTTAAAACTATAGTAATAAACTAATATCTAGGGCTCCAGCCCTATAAAACGTTGCCGTTTTATTACTAGTTTTAGTTCTGCTTTAGATTGTTTTAAATTGTTTCAAATTTATATTTTTAAATAAAAACTATATATCTAAAATATGCTACTTAATTAACAATCCTATTTAATAGTATAAAAGTTAAAACATTTTATTGTTATATCAGTGGTTATAAAGTTGAAATAAACTATTTAATAAGAATTGTGTTGACTTTTTAACAAAAACCTATCTTTTAGTATTTTTTTAGTATTTTTGAAATTTTAAAATATTGTACGAGTCAGTCTATTGTAGTCGTTATATAGTCATAAGTAGATTAATCAAATTTATAAATTATATATTATTGGTTATATTCAATAAAATTAAAAAATAACGATAATACGTAGCAGCATTTATAGTATATGTTATTAATCCTATTTTATTTAACTGTTCTATTTAAAGATAAAGCAAGCATTTGATTGTTTAAGGTTTTTAATATAGTTGACTTAAAAAAATAATAAGTAATCGGTAATATCGCAATAGATGTGATGATAATATCTTGATCCGTTGGAGCGGAAACGAAAATTCCGCTTATTCATATACGGATCAGGATATTATTAATCCCCAAAAATATAGTTCATTATCGTTAAATACTGTATTATCGTAATCTTTTTTTTTTTTATTTTTTTTTTATTTTTTTATGTGACAAGTGACAACCATCAAGATTGTACTTTTAAAATAACTATATATATATATATACGAATGTGTTTGATTAGATGAGAGTGAAATGAAAAAAGGAACAAATTGATAAACAAATAAAAATATCTTATTAGATTTGCTAATCAAACTGACAAAGCATTACTTCCAACTCTTATCCCCTTCATAATACATATTATATATAAATTTTCTCATTATTCTAAACAAGATTTAATAAAAAAATTGGGTTTCTTTTTTTTTTTAACAAGAACATGAAAATGTTGCCATTAAAATCTCAAAATTTAATTCATAGAACGTTGGAAACTCATTCTCACCTTCTCCACATTTACACTTTTCTACTATATTTAAATAACCTTGCGTACACTTAATTTTTGCAAAGTATTTTACTACAAATGGCATAACAACACGTTTTAATTCAGGCCATTTCCAAACGTGTTTGAATAACATTTCTGCACAAGTTTCCAATTTAAGATTACAGAGAATAAGTTTTTTGAGATGTGATTTTAGGTCAAATATTTGGTATTTGTCAGCGATACCATATAGGGAATATATTTCATCGGAGAAGGGGAAAGAAGAAACTTTATCAGTGAAAGGTAGATCATCGGTGTATAAGAATTGAAGTAATTGGAGAACTGAGTGGTATGGAAAATCAGAGATTACTAATTCATAATAGAAATCACGGGATTTAAAGGGAGAAGGTTTAGAGGAAGAAGTGAATACGGTTTCATTAGATGAAGTTGTAGAAACTACTGAAAGAGTGTCATCAAAAGACCAGCTTTCTTCATCATCCGGAATGGAGAGTTTTTCATCACTTTCACCACCAATACCGGATTTTTCTTTTTCACGAATGCCGAAATTTTCATTAATTTCATATTTTGTATCACGTTTCATTTCATCAAATATATCTTTAAAATATTTAGATCTTTTCGCAAGGATAGAACTACTTGCGAATAATTCATGGTCACCAATAACAAATCTAACATCGGCAGTCGTAGGATTATGCAATTCTTCGGTCCAGATGGTCTTTATTTTTGAAGGAAAAATTTGTTTTGCTGTGTTGTTGAATGGAGTGGTTGAGAAGGCGGTAGAAGGGTTTTGACTGAATTCAGGTTTTAGCATCTCAATACCGATTATTACTGAAGAATCTTTTAGACAGGATCTTCTGAATACTTTATAAGTATCTTTTAATAAAAAAAATGATTTGAAATTAGCATATATATATTGAACAAAAGGTAAATAATATATAAAAATAATTTATAAAAAATAATTTATAAAAATAATTTATAAAAATATTATAGGCATTATATAATACCTTTTTTATTACTTAAATTATTAATCGGCAAAATTTCAGTGCCATCCGACCTTCTAACATGAATTTTATGATTACACATTGAAAGTTTTGCCATAAATTCATCACAATGTTTTGCATTTGGAGTGGATACTTGCTCCAAGTATATTACACAATAATCTTTAAGCTAAAAAAAAAAAAATTGTTTTTTTAAAAAATATATATATATATATACATATGTATATGTTGAATATTTATTTAAATAATTAAATTTAAATAATTAAATTAAATTGAAAATTACCGGTTTAATGACCAAATGCCAAAGTTGTTTGGAACGAAATTCGTGAGCGAACGGAGGTCCATAAATCGCGTGAATTAACTGAGAGATATTGGAGATTTCATATTCAAAGTACGATCGATTTGCTTTAATGAAGCTTGCCATTTTTCTATTATTAATGTTTTATTTTAAGGAGAATTTATTTCGTCGAATTACACGAAACAAAATCGTGATATTATTATATTTAAGGGTCGAATAAAAAAAAGTAGATCTCAAAAAAAATATGTAAGTTTATATATAACAGATAAAACAAAACAAATCCCCAATATCAAAAATTGAGAATGAATGACCCTCCAAATTGCAACTTGATCATTAAATAATTTAAAAGTTCCTGTGAATCATAAATCATAAAAATCATAAACCAACTCATTAAACAACAAAACAAAAAAAAAAAAAATCACGAAAGGTCTTGAGGTTTTAAAAAAAAAAAAAAATGATTGATTTTTATTTCGAAATCATCAGACAATTATTTATAACGCTCCAATCGTTGAATTATCATGTGAATGTAATTGTTTAATTTGCAACAATTAGAATGATTCATCTTCGATAAAAAATTGCCGTACGTAGTTAATCTAACATATATTGAGGTTAAATGTTTGATCATGAGTTTAATAAAGAAGTTATTGTTAAAACTTTGTAATTGATTTCGTAATATAAAGACTGCTTTAGCATGCACATTTTTGTTTAAAGTGTTTCGCCATGATTTAACTAGCATCTTTATTTTTGTTAATTATGGTAACTGTTTTAGAATAACTATTAATAATTAACACCTTGAACATGAACTCATGCGCATTCTGTGTGAAACAATAAAGTAATAATCTTTTTGTATATTTATATGGTGAATAACGATTACAGTACGTAGTGTCATTAATTAAAATCCATTTTACTATAGAACCTTTTTTCTCGAACCTTTTTTTTATATGCTATGTTTCTGATGCTTACTATATGCCAATATAATAAAAAAGTCATTTTACTAATTTCCGAGTCTATAAAGTTATTCTAACTTATTAATATCAGAGATCAAAAAACTGTATAAACAAAGGTGACTGGCTCTATTTAGTGATATTTGGTTTCGTTGCAATTTCATATTAATACCGATACTGATATCAAATTTATTTATAGCGCTACTAAAATTAATAACGGTCTTACTACTAAAGTACCAGACTTATTTTTTTAGATGTCGATTTTTATTAAAAAAATTTATTAGCCTTAATATCTAATTTGATCTCAGATTGATCGTACATACCTTATACAGTACTTAACTACATTGTTATTTAGTTATTTTCAAATACTATATAGTTGAAACTAAATTTTTTGAATATTGTGGTTACTAACTCTAAATAGCTAGAAATAAAAAAATATATTTTTTTAAATCTTATATAGTAATATTTAAAATTTTTTTCATTCCTAGCTATTTAGAGTTAGAAACCTCTAAAATTTAGAAGCTTTATCGTGTTGAAAAAAAAAATTAAAAATCTTTATTATTCAAAATTCCTAGCTATTTAGAGTTAGAAACCTCTAAAATTTAGAAGCTTTATCGTGTTGAAAAAAAAATTAAAAATCTTTATTATTCAAAATTCCTAGCTATTTAGAGTTAGAAACCTCTAAAATTTAGAAGCTTT